TAAGACTTACTATCAAGTGGAATTCTTTATCTTATAACCATTTGTCTGTGTTTACATTTATTTCAAATTTAATGTACTCTCTGTTGGAAGTTAGGAAAGGCAGATAAAGCTATAAAGCTTAAACTTGTATATACAACTTAGTTGGAAGACTGTTAAGTATAGTGAGGGAAAGAGGAGAAACTGAATCTTGTTTATGAGGTGACATTTCAAAGTATTTTTGAACAATTATCTGTGCTATTCTAGTCCCTGATCAAAATTTATGATTGAGCACAGGCTATAAACTTAATTGTTGGAAATTTGTGGTGGGCATATTAACTTTTAGCCTAATTTAAAACATGATCTAGTGTTAATTTTTCTCTGTAAAATTTGTTTATTAACTAATGTAGATTAGATGCAAAGCTCTTAGATGCTTTACAAAAGGTACTTAAGAAGTGGCTATTAATCATCTTTGATTTATTGATAATGTTTTAAATTTCATAACCATACCAGAAATCTGAATGACTTGTTTCTTTGCCTGCTCTAGGTAAAGTAGCTACCTGTGAAGTTCTATATAGGGGAAGTTTGTAGAAGAAAATTGTGTGAAGTTAGGTTAGCAAAATAATATTTGTCTCTAAAAGAAAAAATAATTTATTTGCTCTAACTTGGGTATTTTGAATGCCTTTTTGTTGACTTATTTGAAACACTTTCTAGCCCAGGTTTTACTACGTGGCCCAGACCAGCCTAGAATTTGTTATGTTCATCCAGGCTGCTCTTAAACCCTGAATCCCCCTGTCTTAGCTGCCTAACAGTTGCTAAGGTTGCTGGCACATGGGCAGTCTCCATGTCCAGCTCTTGTGTATATTTTCTAAGAAGAAATTCATATTTAAAATATTTAAGCAGATTTAATTAAGGTTTTGAAAGACCTCACAAGTATGAAATATAGTGAGAAACAGACTGCTATCAGCCTAAGATGAGGAAATAATACTTCAGACTTGGGTACATTCTGCATATGGATAGTGTAAAAAGTGAAGTCTTAAATGTCAGTTTTGCATTTTGTTACTCAGCATTACTGAATTGTAGAAAAGAAATATTTGCTTTTCTTTTTTGACTCTTTTCTAATTGGTAGTCAGTTTAACAGTCATTCTTCAGAAGAAATTCTTGAAGTGCTGATGTGCACACTTTAAGATGTTAGTCTGAGATTATTTGCTCTTCTTGGGTGTCTGAGTCTCCTTGGGGCTCTGATTGATGCTGTGGACCCGCTTCCCTGAAGCTACATCTCTGCTCATGTATACACAATCTACTGTCTTTTGCTGGTAGTAGCCCTCTGAAGCCCACTTGTGGGTATCCTTAAGCATAAAGGATATTGAGTCCTAAAACTTGCCCCAAGTAGCTTACATGTGATTTTCTTTTTCTCTAAAACTTTGCTGAAACAATTTCTCCATGTTTATTTTTGGTCATTTCTTGGAGGAGCAATGGAGTTCATGCTGCTTCAGAGCAAGTGATGTCTGGTGGAGGAATATGCTCAGTCACTAGGGCCCCAGGCCTGTAAATTCTTTTCTCCTTAACCACCAGCCAGCTGAGTGCCCTTTGAGAAATGTCTCTTAGGCTTTACTTTCCTGTGTGACTGCTGTAATTTTTTATAAGCAATTTATAAACAGTTTTCATGACCTTATAGCTTCATTATTTTCACTTTATTAGCTTAGGATTGGATCTGCCACTGAGTTTTGGAGAAAATGCCTGGGCAATAGATACACATGCATATATTGTATTGTCTTTCTGATGACTTCTCAGAAGAGTTTATATCATTATACTTTTCCAAATGCTGTATTAAATACAAGTTAAATCCCATCCTGTCCTGATCATGTTTGAGTATCAGTGGATTTTATATATCCTGGTATATGTATTTTTATTAAATATATCACAATTATCTCTCAATTCTTCAGCTTACCTTTTTAGTCATCCTTTAAACAATTTCTTACATTTATTTATTTATGTGTATGGACATGCATGCCAGAGGAAGATTTGCAGGAATTGTCCACAATGTGAGTTTCCAAATGTTGCTTCCCCAGTTTTAGTCCTGGGGATCAAACTAAGGTTATTAGGCTTGGCATTGACCAGCTGAGCTATCTTGCTGGCCTTTACATGGTGGTTCATTTTTGTTTCATATGAATTCAAGTTCTTACTTTTAGTTTAGTCCAATTTGTCAGTCTTTCTTTTTTCATTATGTTTTAAAATGGTATTTGTTATCTTACTTCCTGGTGACTGTTGTAAATAAAAACAGTTTCAGAAACCCTTTTATCTAACTAGTCAATACAGTGGGAGACAAATGTATGAAGAGTTATTTAACAAGGAGGTTGGGGAACTGGGAAGATGAGCCTGCAGCAGTTTTGTGTCTGTTCATCCTATCTATTGACCGTTTATTGAGTGCTCACTATATGCCTGGCATCTTGTTTTAGGCATCTTTGGAGTGGTACTGTGGTCTCTTCACTATAGTAACTAAAATAATGAAAATCTTTTTTTTGAGGGCCTAATTTTATTTTATTTAAAAGGATTTTAGAAGCAATAATCACAAAAGCTAACTATCATTAAGTCACAAAGTTGAAGAAATTTTATTAAAAAAAATAAGAAAAGAGTGGTTACCAAAATGGCTTTTAGTTGTTGAAGACCACAAAGACAATGTAGGATTTAGAGGATAAAAGTATTTAAAAACCCGTTAAAGAACAGAACAAACAGTCATGAGGGAAAAAAAAATGCGTCTTAAGAGTTAAATCCTGCTCTTTGCTCTTTTTGCTGTCTTTCTGTTCTTACTGCTCTTTCTGCTCCCGTCTCTCTCTCCTCTTCTGTCCTCTCTCCGTCTCTCTTTTTACCTCTTTTCTCTTCCCTTCCTCCTCCCTTCCCTTTTTAATAAAACTTCTCACTCAAAAAGAAAAAAAGTTTAAATCCTGTCGTAATTTAATTTCCTTTCTTACTTTTTTGTTTTGTTTTTTTAAGACAGGTTTTCTCTGTGTGACTACCCTGGCCCTCCTAGAACTCACTCTGTAGACCAGACTGGCCATGAACTCAGAGATCTGCCTGCCTCTGCCTCCCGAGTGCTGAGATTAAAAAATTGTGTGTGCCACCACACCTAGTAATGAGTATAATTTCTATGAGACTTCACTAATATTCCATCTCTAAAAAGAATCTCAGCACTCTTTTGGAATTGGCTGTTGAGTATTTATTCTGCATGTGAGATATACATGAAAAACAACTTGAATAGACTCAGAATATCTGCAGGTATGAAACTGTTTCTGTAAATTGTACCTGTTGGCCTAAATCCAGTCAGCTATGACTCAAAAGCTTCCCATCCTTGACAGAGAGAGTCATATGAAGCAAGAGGACATAGAGTCTAGTTTTTAGTAATTGCATTATTCTACAGATTTATTGTATGATTTTTCTTGTGGTTGGGAATCCAGTCTAATTCCCATGATTAAAATAGCTATTTAGGTAGACTCCTGGGATGTTTGAAAAGAACTGTAGTCAGAGAAAAAGGAGGAACTGGGAGTGTTGGTGCTCACCTTTAATCTCAGCACTCAGGAGACAGACACAGGTGGATCTCTGAGAGTTTGGGGCCAGCCTGGTCTACAGAGTGAGTTTCATGACAGCCAGTGATATGTTATCTTAAACAAAAACAAAAGAAATAACATAGCACCCCCCCCCCCAAAAAAGGCAGAAGAAGGAAAGAATGCCAGGTTAATTTATTTTGGAAGTAAATGTAGATTGCATGAATCAGGGGCCTTTTAAATAACTTTACTGTATGCTTAACATGACTAATATGGTTAACAAAAATTTCTCATCTGAGAGACAGGATCTTTGAAAAGCCCCAAGGAAACAAGACACTATTGGAATAGCATAGGTCAACAGACATGTTTTAGGTATAATGAAGATAGAGCATGTTGTGGAGTTTAGTGCTTTATTTTAATTTTAGTTCCCTAATACTAGGTCAGGATCCCAAAACTTAGATTTTCTTTCTGGCTATATGACTGGTTGTGAATGTGGCAGAGATGAACCATTATGTGTTTGTGGCTACAGTCCCAATCAGTGATATGAATGTAAGAATATGAATGAAAATTTAATTAAAATTCTGATTATATTATTTATACTTACTTTAGTATGTACTTATTTTATACTTATTATACATTATATAATATTGTGAATTTAAAGCTTTGCATGAAGCAAATCCATTTTAAGATTTATTACAAAAAGACTTTTAAGTGGACCAAACTAAGGACTTAAAGTATTCGTTATACTCTATTGTAAAGAGAGTGCAATGGAGCTATTTGAATAAGTAAAATACATATGGCTAGGTGTTCTATCGGTTTACAAAATCTACACATAAGTGCACATGCATTTACAGCTGAGAGCAGTGCAAATAAGCCTAAGTGGCAGATCACAGCTACACAAAGCTGGCTGGTAGCACTTCATGGTTGGAATAACTCCTAGTCCCTCTTGTTGCTTTCCAAGTGTGGTCCTGAACTCAGGTGTGTAAGTATTTGTGGAAACTGTGGCAGTATGCTGGTCTCTGCGGGGTTGAGTCATCTGTGGTTACTACTCACTTTTCACTGTGTTTTTGTATGTTACCCAAAAAGCACAGAATAGCAGTTGATGACTGTTAGTTTCATTGGTGAGGCATCGATGTTAGCAGTTACGTTTTCAAGGAACCAAAATTTGTCTAATTCTTACTTAGGATGTCTGTCCCTAGCAATGCTCTCCCCATTGTCCAAGGGTCATCTGTATTTTTTTTCCTGGTCTTGAAAAACTGTTAAAGCAGAGGTTTAACTGCTCTTGAGTCCCTTCTTTGCTGAAAAAACAAAAACAAAAACAAAAACTACTCATTTCTTCCTTGTTTACTGTTGGGTTTTAAATTTTAGGGATTGGTATTTTTTTTTTTTTTCTCCTTTAAAGTCAGAATTCTCTGAGTCTTTAGCTTTTGATGACATCATAAATCTGTTTGTAGTATGACTCTGTTTTTCCTTCTGTTACAGGGGATTAGAGAACTGAAGGAGAGCCAGTTTCCCCAAAATTGGTAAGTGCTTTTACTGATTCTAGCTGGGCTCATTCACATATTAAGTGATATTGTAAGTGATTTTTTCCCCCTTTAAAACAAGGCTTTGTTGTTTGCATTAAAAGTAAATTTTTAGCTTCACATAGCTATATCTGAAATGCATTTGTGTTTGTTTGTGATAACTGCACTAGACTTGCATGTTCCTTAATTTGATAACTCATTAGAACTTGAAAGTCCTGTTGCCAAAATGCCTTTAATGCAGTAGTTAGGCCTGAGAATTCAAAGTCAGGAAAGACAAGTTCGTGTTCCCATTGTGTTCTGTATTACTGCGATGTTTACATTTGAGCTCCTCACCCCCATGTATAGACTGGCCTTGTCACTATTGGAGCTCTTTGCCTTGATCTTGAAGTTGGAGCCTCTTGATGTCTGTGTTCTTACACTTGACATTAGATTGGCTTCAAGTCTGAGATTATGGGTTTTAGTGTGTGTTGTTTTGTATAATTTTTAAAGGAGAGGAGGCAAACACATTTTTCTTGATAACTACTTTAAAATAGCTTATAACTTATCATACTTATTCAGTGTTTGGGTGTATTAATTTGAGATCCTAGATTGCACTGGCTGATCTGATATACCAAGCATCTGACAGATACTAACTTTATTTGGAGAATATGTGCTTTTCAAAAAAAAAAAAAATCAAGCTATAATTGTATAATCTTCTAATGAAGACTGCTTTTAAAAAAAAATCCTGTCCCTCAAAGAGTAATTAAACTTAGTGTGTAGAATAGAGCAGATGTTTGATTTTTGGTTTTATGAGGCAAGGTCACATTCTATTTAACATTGGCTGGCCTGGAGCTGGCTATGTAGTCTACACTGTCCTTGAATACACAGATCTGCCTCCTGAGTGCTGGGATTAAAGGTGTGCACCACCATCATGCTCAGGAGACTTTTGGTTTTGTGGTCCTTCTCTCTGGGTTTGAAACTGGGATGTGAATATTAGAGGGAGTCTCTTGAACCACTGAACCTTGGGTTTTGCTACCATTTAATTCTATTGCCTTTCCCTCATGGAACCTTGTATAGTAATAATCAAGGCCCTTTAGCTCATGGTGTTATAGAACCATGGTATCTGTCCTGTTTAGCAATTTCTTGTGTGTATCCTTGACAGGTTGTTACTTATTCAGGTGCACACTGAATAACTGCATTTAAAGAAATATAGGCCTTTGTTTTCTGTAATGAATGTGTTTTGAGAAACTCTGGTTCCACAGAAACTGAAGAAATATTTCTGAGGTTGGGGCTGGGGTGGGAAAAGGGTTCTGTGATCAAATAATTTGGGAAATGCTGCATTAAACTGCGTTAAACAGGTTTCTTTACTGCAGGACTTCTCAGAATCTTTAATATGCTAATGTGCATTGTGAATCTCCAAGATGGGGATATGATATGCAGCATTCTTGAATACTTCTAATGACAGGGAGCCCACTACCTCATAAGGTAACCCATTCCTTTTTTGTACAGCTCTAATCCTTAGTTCTTATTTATATTGATCTGAAATTTATCTTCTATGACTTTACTTCTACTAAGTATGATATTGATTGTTTATGCTGGGACCACTACACCTTCCTGTGTTACTGTTTTTGTGGTATATATTTATAAGCTTCTGGCCAGGCTTGCCTGAACAGTCTCCCACCCCCAAATCATTCAATGACTTTTCAGTAAATGTGGCAACCAGTTCTAAGATCTTAGACACTTCATCACTATGCTTGTGTGCCCTACTCTCTAACCTTCATTTCGAGTTTCTGTAAACTCTACATTTTACTTCATTGTTCCCCCCTTGTTGGTATGGTTGGGATTTTACTAAGCATGCTTCCTTTCCCTACAGAAAGATAGGAGATAGAAGAATGTGAGTGTACAGGCAGCCTGTGTCCTAGAAGCTGAGTTTGACCTGTACACTGGGCTGAGCCTGATGGTGGGGAAGAGGTACAACCTCCTAGGAGAATGTTGTGGGAATTCCTCAGCTGACCCAGAATCCACAAGAGCCCCTAGGCTGCAGTGCTGTGAGCTTGATACATAGTCTTTAGAAAAAGGAACCACGTGTTCCCTTCCCTGTAAACCCAGACAAATAGAAATTTAACAGACAAGAAACATTTATTAATTAGTAAATAGCAGTAACTATTTAATAGTTTAGAAACACTCAGCTAGCTATGGTGGCTTTGTCCATAGCTGTCATGCCAGGACTTGAGCACATAGCCTGATCAGAGTCCAAAAGTAGACAGCCTCCAAAGTTAGAGTTGTCAAGCTTTATGAGGGACATTTTCTGTTGATTTGTGGAGTGTCACCAAAGAAATATTGCCCCAAAATAAATCAGGTTATAATGAAAACTTGTAGAATAATAAGGAAAAATTAGGTTTTCCTATTTAAAATAGCAACCCTCTCAAAAGTGAATGTGGAGCAGAAGCAGACACTTGAATACATGAGAAATGCATGTATAGAGAGTACGGAGCTTTTTTAAGGGACAGTTTTGGAGCACACTATGTTATGAACTTACTAAGTCACTCTTGGTTGGCCTGGAAAATTTCGACAGGAAAAGAATTCTTGTCAATTTTGCAGCGAAGAATTTCTTAGCAATGAAAAGAGGTTAGAGCTTCCCTTTAAAGAGTCATAGCAAAAGACTGTGTTTCTTCACCACAAAAGATCCCGAGGATGTATGCCTTCAGCATAGAAGAAAGACCTTAAGGCCATGTGCCTTCCTGGCATAAGACCCTGAGCCTGTGTACCTTCCTGGCATGAGACCCTGAGACCCTGTGCCTTTGTGGCATAAGACTCTGAGGTCGTGTGCCTTTGTGGAGACTATTCAGAGCAACAGCAGCCTCATTCTTAGAAAATTTGGGCTTTTTACATTTTATTTTTTTATTTTCAGAGTTATTTTTATTATTTTGTGTGTGCAAGTGTTTTGCTTGCAAGTACATCTTTGCACCAAATGAGTTGCTGGTGACTAAGGAGGTGGTGAGCCTACGTGTGGGTGCTGGGAATCAAACCTGGATCCTTTGCAAGAACAAGTGACTTCAGCCACAGAGCCAAGCCAACTCTCCCAGCCTGAGAATTTGACAAGTTTTTGTTCAAAGTTTAAGCATGAAGAAATATGTCAATAGCCCAAACTTGATGGTTTACAAAAGGCTTTTCTAAGACCTTTACTTGATTTAAACCTTATAACAGTCCTGATGGAGGAGACATGAGCCTATTTTTCCCAGGGGATAATATTGGCTACACAATGTATTCTTTTTTTTTTTTTTTTTTTTTTTTTTTTTTTTTTGGTGCGAGGCAGTAAATGTTTGTTCTTCATCATCCAACTACCCTTTTTTTGGGGGGTGAGATCTGATTATTGTTTTGTTTAGTTTGTTATGATGTTTGGCTTTTGTTTGGTGTGTGTGTGTGTGTGTGTGTCAATGCCTCTTATAGCCCAGGCTGGCTTTGAACTCACTATGTAGCTAAGTATGGCCTTGAACTCCTGATCCTTCTGTCTCCACCTCCCAAGTGTTATGATTACAGATGTGTATCCTGGTATCTGGCTATTTTCTGCTTTGTTTTGTTTTGTTGCTTGAGAGGCTTAGGTTACCTAGTGGTTTAATGTGTAAAATGTTGAAAAGGCAGAAGGTTGGCATGTGCTAGGCAGATGCCTTCAGTGATAGAGGTATGTGGAGATGTTGGGCAAAAAGTGTTTATTACTGTCTTATGAGTCTGTATAGTCACCATTCAGTAATTGATTTGTTTTACTCTCGCCTTATTAGGATTGGGCAAATATAATTCATAATTTATAAATATATTTATAATTTATCTTTTGTACATTTAGAAGTGATAGCTTTTGGGGGCCATTGAGATGGCTCAGCAGGTAAAGGCACTTGTCACCTTGCCCAAGGACCTGTTTGATCCCCAAAACTGGTGGAAGGAAAGAACCAATTCCTTCAAATTGTCCTCTGACCTCCACACACACTCCATGGCATGTTTGCCCCCACCTAGTAAATAAATGATATTTTAAAAAGTAATGCCTTTTTGTGAAGCTGCAGACTGCTCTAAATATTGTTCATGTGATGCTGCATATGCTAAGATTCCAGTGCTTTTTAAAGGCTCCAACATATTTGGCTTGAGTGTATAAATTATAACTTTGTGTATTTTAATTGTATAGCCAAATCTCTTAAAACAACTGTTCAGAAAGAGACTTTCTGAGGAAAGATTTCAAAATCATTTTCTAGTCTCTCATAAGATTCTCTGTGACCAGTCATGGTCTTTTTTTAACCCTTCAGTCTTATTCTAACACAAAATGGGTAATTGACATTTAAATGCCTTTGTATATCTCTAATAAGCAGACAACAACCTGATGGAGGCAGTAAAAGCTGTCAGCTCCTCATTAGCTTGACTGGCAGGCTTGTTTTACAAGGCACGCTTTGACATTTAAAATCTCCAGGTTAAAACCTTGTTTTTACTCTTTCCTTCTTCCTCTCTGGTCTCCTTCCCTCCACCCTCATTTTTCTTTCTTTCTTTGAGATGGGATATCATGTAGCCTAGGTTGGTTTCAAACACATTGTATAGCTCAGAGGTTGGCCTTGAACTCCTGAGTCCACTTCTTGAGTGTGCCATCATACTCAGTTACTTTTTTGAGGTATTTATTATGGATTTTTTATGTTATAAATGTTTCAGATGCTTTATTAATTCTCATTTATTTTTTTTTTCTTGAAAGCAGATATGCATTGTCTATGGAAAAGTTTGAGAATATTGATACTCCCCAAAAGAAGGAAGTTAAGTAGCCTTTAGTACTTTCACCCAGAGATGGCTTTCAGCAGATTATGAAGCACATCAGACCCACCGTAGGCAGCTGTTATTATGTATCTTCAGCACAATAGGCAAAAACCTTAATTGTTAAATTTATGTTTCTGTCATTAGTCCAGATTGGTGGTTTTCATAGTCACTGGTCAGTCATTAAAATTCTTATGAGTATATATTCACATTAGGATGGGTTTCATAAAGATATCTTCACTCACATGTGTCAAATACTTTAAATTCACACTTTTTATTGGTCATTCTTATTTCTTGTGAGAATTGCTTTTCTGTACATTTTTTGTAATTAATGTATGAAAGCCCTGACTGTATAAACAATGCTAGTCTTTTGTGGTGGATATTTTAAGTTCTCTGTGTCTGTGATCTGCTTGTTTTCAGAGTTTGAGTTTAGCTAAGCTGTGGTACCGATAGAGGATTAAAAGAGGCTTTTCTGATTTTGAACATGCTCTTGCAGTGAGTTGTCCTTACTGTAAAAAGACTTTTAGGGAATCTTTTGAAACATTTTCTGGTAGAACTTTGCAAAAATTAAGACCACATGTTTTAAAAGAACTATAATAGAAACTGGGTATGGTAGATTACATTTATAATCCTTGTACTCAGGAGGCCAAGGTAGGAGGATTATAAATTCAAGGCCAGGCTGGGCTCTACAGGAACTTTAAGGCAAGTCTAGGTTACACAGTGAAACCCTGTAAAACAGAACTGTCATGTATAAATTAAGAGTTTGAGAAGGGAGATTATTTTAGCATTTAAAATTGACATAGCTGGTATAGTTTTCAAATTAGCAGTTGCAAATTGAGAAAGTGTAAATGACCACAGAAATTTTGCTCTGCATGAGTTACTAATGATTCTGGTATTCCAAACAGTTCATGATATGTTTCCTTTTAAAAATTATTCCCCCTTAATACCCTGCCTGTAAGAATTTTTTTTTTTTTTTTTTGGTTAACAGTAAATCTTTGCCAACTTCTCGACATGTGTCTTTGAAAGAATTTTGTCCTTTGAGATTTTAATTTGTTAGAATATTCTGATTTTTATATAATCTAATGTATAAACCCTGAGGAGAGACTGTTATTGATGTTGTAACCCCAGAGGTGAAGTAAATATAATGGAAACTAGAAATCCTAAGGATATATTTTATAGTTAATGATTTCATCGTAGCTCTGTGAACTCAGTTTTAAAAAAGAGTTTAAGAAACTCAGGCTAATGAGGACTGTCAGTGTGTAAATGATTGCTAGAGAGCCTGGTGGCTGTGACTCTCATATTGTTGTCAGGTACAGGTTTCCTTCCTCAGTGACAAAAAGCAGCACCAGCTACAGTGTTTATAGGTCTAAGGGGGAAAAAAAGAGATTTTTAATAAAGTTTATATTTATACAGACAATCATTACTTTTACTTTGATAGAATACCCCTTATCATGGTCAAAGTTAAGGAAAGAAAAAAAAAAAGTTAAAGGAAAAATTAGCCATTTGGTTAAGCTGCAGCAGTGATGGTGTGGACAGGAAGGTGAGATCAGGCATCCCTTTTACAGTCATAAATCCAGACAACATCTCCACATACAGTTACACGTATGGTCAGAGAAATGCACTGGCAAGTTTGAAAAAGAGACAATGGTCACTTCAAAGCTAGGAACATGTGCCAGTGTTAGACTATCTCAAGTTCTACCCATAAAGGTGGGTCCCTCCAGCTCCTCTTATAACTTCAGTGTTTCAGGGCATTGTATTTGTGTTTAATAATTAAGTTGTTAGTTAAAACATTTAACTCACTCAAGGCTTTCCCTTTGTTTTAGGACTTGTTTTCAGAATAGAGAAAGAATGCAATCAGATTAAAATACCTTTCCCATGGTATTTGCCTTAACCTCTGGGAGACTGGGAACTCTCGGTCCACTCTGATTTTGTGTCTGTGTGTTCTGGATGATGACACCCTCCCCTGAAAGCTCTGATCTAGGTGGAAGTGGTCTTTCAGCTCCCTACCCTCAGTGCTGAGCACACAGTGGGTGTTAGTGTGCTCTGTTGACCATCACGTATGCTGTTGTATTTCTTTTCTCAGTTATTTGAAGTGTTCTATAGAGGAATGTTCAAAAGAAGAAAACCCAGAAAGTTTTGGTACTGAATTGTTTTTTAAAAGTTCTTTGGGGGATACTTTCTTCCTGTGTTACAAAATATAATATTTTTAATTTAATTATTTTGACAAAAATTTTCTTCATTCCCAGCACAATGATCCCAAACATTTTATGATCTCTACAGCTGCAGCAACAAGAGGAGCTTGTTATTTTAAGCGGAGGCTGAAGACACTGTAGAATTAGCAGACATAAGAGAAAGTGGAGAAGGTAGAGGATGGAGTTGCAGACTCTACAGGAGGCTCTTAAAGTGGAAATTCAGGTTCACCAGGTATGTTGTGTGATTGACTGTCCATACATACTGTGTTGCTAAGGAAACAGGCCTAGCTCTGTGTTTGGTCAGGTTATGCAATCCTTCTAAGACTTACCCAATGACCATGTCATTTGCCCACAGTCACTGCACCACAAACACACTTCCACTGCTTTTAAGAACCTTAATAAGATACTCCTGACATCTTTTCCGGAGAAAGGACTGGAAATATTTTTTTCATATTGGAAAAAACAACTCTTTTTATAGTTTTTCTAGCCCATGTGAAGGTCTTCTGTACACATGATACCTTTCGTGTGTGTGTGTGTGTGTGTGTGTGTGTGTGTGTGTGTGTGTGTGTGTGTGTTTTAATTTATTTTTGATCTTTTGAGACAGGGCCTCACTAGATCAAATTGGTTGGCCAGGAACTCCCCATGTAAACTACATTGACCTTGAACTTGTGCTTCCCTAGTACACTCACTTTCCTCATTACACCATAATTAAAATGAGATGTATGTAAGCTAATGTATATATACTTACTAAACATACTAACACCTGTGCTCATCTATGACTCATCTCTGTGCCTCGTCACAGTCTTTTTTATTCTTTTTTGATGATTCCAATCTTTGGTAAGGAAAATCTGGTTGCTGTCATCAATATTTAAAATGCTGTAATCTTTACACTTTTATCTCAGACAAAAGTAAACAAACCTTTAAAGTATATAATTAGAAAATGTATATACAAATTTTATATTCATTTTATGCTTATTTCTATAGTGTATAAAACACTGAATAAAACACTTAATATAGATTTTAATTTGTATATGTTGACATGGAAATACATAAACAAACATGATTATAATCAAGACAGGAAAATAACTAAATCATTAACATTTATTGTATAAACAGGCTATCACTGTTTCATTTTTTAGACATCAGCTGGGCATTGAGATTGAGGTACACAAATAAACCTACATGTGCATAGTCTGGTATTCAAAAGTGATAAATGTAACAGGAAAAATAAAAGACCCAGAGACAGATATTGAGGTTCACACTTCAAGCTGAAGATTAGAAAAACAAAGCAGCCGGGCACTACCTCTCACTCTACCTCAGACTGAAAGGTAATCCTGCCTCCACCAAACCTCATACTGCTGCCTCTCCTCACTCAGTGTGGCTGGATAATCCTGAGACTGAGACTTAGCTTCTGTCTTATATACTTCCCTAATGCTTCAATTAACGGCATGTGATCCTAGCTACTGAGATCATCTTTGTGTGAACTATTTCTCTTTAGGACAGGATCAGTCTTGTATAGATCTGGGTGGCCTTGGACTCAGAGATCTGTCTGTTCCTTAATCCTGAGTACTAGGATTAAAGGTGTGTACTACCATCTAACTTCTTGCTGCTGGATTAAAGGTGTGTGTCTAGTTTCAATGGCTTGTGGCTGACTTGCTTTCTGAATCCTTAGGCAAGCTTTAATAAATCATAAATAATATGTCACCACAGATAAATGATGATTTGGCTACTTTTGACTGTATAACATTTGTGAATGTGGGGATAGGATGGATGAATGGATGAAGGGAACTCCTCTGTGTGTGTGATATTTTGGGTTGAATTCAGGACTTTGCAGATGGCAGTGACTGTTCTACCATGAGCTGCATTTCCAGTCAGAATATACTTTAGTTTTAGGGTATTACTTCAAACTGTCAGTCTTCCTGTTTAAACTTTCTAAGCACCACAAAACTTGTAATTTTTTAAAGTATTTGTTTTGGGGTATAGTTCCTCTTGTTTTTATCGTGTGATCTAATACAGCATTGATTTCTGAAAATGTTGGGATATATATTGGACTTTTGATTTGGGTTTTCCTATTACCCTAGAATTAATGTGGATTAGAATTGACAGGAAAATTATGTGCTATGTGTGTTTTTGTTTTTATTTTTCCCCATGGAGTTCTTTGTTTGGAAGTCCTTGCTGCTGCTCTTTCATGTGTATAGCATGTATGTGCACTACATGTGTGCTTGGTGTCTGTGGAGGTCAGGGGAAGAGATCAGATTCCCTGGAACTGGAGTTATAAGGGTTATATGTGGGTGCTGGGAATGGAACCCAGCTCCTCTGAGAGAGCAGCCAGGGTTCTCAATGAGAATATTTTAATACAGAGGAATATTGAACCCATTTCAGGTTAGTGGCAAGTAACAAGACTTAAATTCATAATTGTTTAAAACTGTTGTCACCAGTAGATTTTAGGAATACAGTAACAATTTGGAATCTGTGTGAATTGAAGATAATTTTTTTCCTCATTTAAGAAATTTTATAATACAGTTTATGCCAGGCAATGATAGCATACACCTTTAATCCCAGAACTCAGAAGGCAGAGAGCAGGTAGAATACAGTTTACATTCTTTTGTATCCTTATCATAAGATACATGTCCCAAATAAATAATTCTTGAATTATCTATGAATTGAACTTTAAAAAAATATTTATTTATTATGTATACAGTGTTCTGTCTGCATGTCTGCCTGCACACCAGAAGAGGGCATCAGACCATATTATAGATGGTTGTGAGCCATTGTGTGGTTGCTAGGAATTTAACTCAGGACCTCTGGAAGAGCAGGCAATACTTTTAACCTCTGAGCCATCTCTCCAGCAACTAAATTGAACTTTTTAAGTATTATCTTATTTCATAATTTGAAATCAGGTATGCGACTTACATAAACATAATAGTTTTGAAAAATTTAGTCTTCATGATAATGTTTTAAAGTCCAATTAAGAATTTATAATTAGGGTGAGCAAGGTGGTTTAGTGGGTAAAGATGCTTACTGCCAAGCTTTACAGTATGAGTTTGATCCCTGGGATCTACATAGCAGGAGCAGAACTGAGTCCTGAAAATTGTTTTCTGACCTCCATTTGTAGGTGTACATGTGTGCTCTCTCTCTGATTCTCCCTCATATACACTCTAAATAAAAATAATAAAGTAGCTAGATGATAGTGGCACAAGCCTTTAATCCTAGCACTCAGGAGGCAGAGGCAGGCAGATCTCTGTGAGTTTGAGGCCAGCCTGGTCTACAGAACGAGTTCCAGAACAACCATAGCTGTTACACAATTATTTTAACACTCTGAATATTAGATATCAGTCTGTTTATATATTTACCTATTTTAAGTATAAAGAAATAGCCTTTTAAGTTAAATATTTAGTTAAATATTTTTATTTATGTGTATACTTGAGTATATGTTACATGCACTTTGTACATGCAGTGCTCTACTAGGTTAGAAGATGGTGTCAGATTCCATGAAACTGAAGCTACAGGCAGTTATGAGTCACCTGATGTGGGTTCTGGGAAACAAACCTGGGTCCTCTGCAAGAGCAGCAAATGATTTTAGCTGCTAAGTCATCTCTTCAGCCCCCAAATTATAGTCTTTATTTTCATCTTTAATTATTGTACATTTTAAATCTGTACAATTTACAAACCAATTAACATATTTTAAATTATTTGTGTGTATATGTGTGTGTGTTTGTGTTCATGCATGTGTGTGTGTCCATGATGTGCATTTGTGGGCATATGTGCCATGGTGCTTGTGTAAAAGACAGAGACTATTTTGTGGAGTTGGTTCTCTTCACTTTTATGTGAATTCCAAAGTTGTTTTGTGTATGTGTGCGGGTATGCACAAGTACGTGTTTGTGTGTGCATCCACACAGGGCAAGGGTGGTCATTGGATATTTTTCTCTATTACTGTCCAACTTTTCTTTTGAGACAGGATTTCTCACAGAACCTGAAGCTCACTGGCTAGACTGGGTGACCAGTGAGTTCCTAGGATCCCCTGTCTGTATTACTTAACCCTAGGGTTACAGGTATACCTCCACACACCTGGCCTTTTTTCATGGGTGCCAGGGATTCAGACTCAAGACTTATGCAACACTTTATTAACTGAGTCATCTCCTTAGTGCCCTACTTTCCTATTTTTGAAAAAAAAAAAATAGCAGTAAGTCCAAATGATAGTATTTATTCTGAAAACTGGTCCTGTTCTCATCAGCTGTGTGATGATGATGCTTGTAGTTCTTGAACATGATACATTCCGGATGGCCAGAAATGATGCCAGAGAATGGATCTTGGGTATTAGATGGAAGCCAAAGCAAGAATGGACTTTTAACTAAATACTAAAGCGAAAACCAACTTTTGGTGCATTTCTAGTTAGGGAATGAAATTTGGTAGAAGGTAAAATCTGTGTTAAGAAGTTGCATATTGCTGTGGTGCAAGTTTGTGTAGGCAGATGCACCAATGTGTACTTAGTTTATGGTCAGTAAATATTTAAGTGTTAGCGGCCATGGGGAGGGGAGTCTCCAGCATTTGATTGTGGGTGGTGTGTGTTGGAGTCTGTTTCAGAGTATTAACTCTATATGGGGTGGAGACTAGTATAAAACAAGCAGAAGGTAACAAACTTTTTCTGTAAAGGGCCAGATGATAAAAAGTATTTTAGACGGCAGGTCATTTATAATCTGTGTCACTACTCTGCTGTGCTGTTGAGCTGACAGATCAGCCACAGAAACAGTGTGTAAACAAAACGGCGTGGCTCAGTTTCATAAGACTTTATTTAGGAAATGTGGTGGTCTGGATTTGCCTACTTGGATGTGGTTTTCTTATCTTTGACATAATATAGATCATGAAAAATGGCATCAGTCATTCAGTGGGAAGTAGCTGATAATACAATTCCAGTTTAAAGTCATCTGGGATGTGGATGGTCTAGTGAGTTCCTCATCTTGTTTGTATAAATGTGGTTTAACTGCTTATACATAGGAAAGATGACTTATTTATTTCCTGCAGAGGTGATCTTATTAGTCAGTTTTTAAATTCTAGTGTCGCCATGGGCTGCATCAGTTGATAAGAGGCTAAGAACACTTGTTGCTTTTGCAGGACTCAAGTTTGATTCCTAGCACCCACATAGTGGCTCATAGCCATCTGTAACTGTAATTCCAGGGGATTTGACACCCACCTCTGACATCTGAGGGTGGCAGGCATGCATGTGGTACAAATATGAAGCAGAATATCATGCACATACTTACATGCAAGCAAAAAACTTATATACAGTAAATAAATAGCAATTTTTAAAAATCCTGTGTTATGGAAGCTCTTTCATCCTCAAAAATAACTTTACAGATAATAGCCAGTTCTGCAGTAACCACATCAAAAAGGACACTCAGACTTTATTTTTTTTTTATTTTTAAAATATTATATATATATATATATATATATATATATATATAGTGTGTGTGTGTGTGTGTGTGTGTGTGTGTGTGTATGTGTGTGTGTGACAGCACACATATAGACATCAGAAGGCATCTGTGTGGAGTAGGTTCTCTGCTTCCACCAGGAAGTTTCTAGGGATAGAGCTAAGGTTGTGAGTCTTGGGTAGAAATAGCCTTTGCCCATTCAGCTATCTCCCCAGCCCAAATCAGCTTTTAAAATAGAAGTGTGGCTAGATTTGTAAGGATAAATGCATTCCATTCTATTGAGCTTGTAGATGATGCATTACTGTCCAGATTTAGATGAGGCTACTGAAAGGATAGTTTTGTCAAACGTGAAGTAGAATTTCATCATATACACCTTGTGTATTTTAGTACCAGGAAGAAAGACTTTGACCAGTTAGAATACATGTCATATCATTCACCAAGCATTTCGTGGGCTGTTGCAACCTGATCACTCATCTTAAAATTAGTTCAATGTGTTTATCACATAGCATTTGAAGCAGCAAAGTTGAGTTGCGTTCATTGCTTTTAGAAAGAGGCACAATAATAACTGGATTTGTTAGCTGACTGCTTGGCAATGAAGAATTAAAGAGTTGGATAAGATGGCTAAGTGGATAGAGGGCCTGCTACCAAGCCCAAAGACATGATTTTAATTTCTGGGATCCACAGAATGGAAAGAGAGAATTAACATCTGAAAGTGATCCTCTGACTTCCACATGTGCACCATGGCACATGTATACATACACTCACAAATAAAATATTTAAAACAATATATATTTAATTTAATACACAAAACTAATAATAAAATATTTAACTTTAGATATCTTAAAATAAAAATAACAAAAACAAATATTTTTAATTAAATACATTTAAGTAAAAAAAAAAAAAAAAAAAAAAAAAAAGAACTAAGCTGGTAGTGGTGGCACAGGCCTTTAATCCCAGCACTTGGGAGGCAGAGGTAGTTGGGTTTCTGTGAGTTCAAGGCCAGTCTGGTCTGCAGAGGTAATTCCAAGACAGCCAGGACTATACATAGCAACGGGGGCAAAGGGGATATAACTAGACTAAAAAAAAAAATGTAAAAGGCATAAGAACTTATTATAATATTGCAGTTTGGGAGTTTTTGTAAGTCACATTGTTATGTAGTATTGTATAATTAATTCATATTGTCATACCTCAAACTATAAGAGCTTGGCTTCTATTTAATAAAGTAGATGAGTGTGTTGTGTATTTTGTATAATTTTTAAATAACATTTTATTTTTTATTTTATTTATTTATTTTTGGTTTTTTGAGACAGGGTTTCTTTGTATTGCTTTGGAGTCTGTCCTGGAACTGCTTTGTAGACCAGGCTGGCCTCAAACTCACAGAGATCTTCTTGTCTCTGCCTCCGAGTGCTGGGATTAAAGGTGTGTGCCACCAACACCTGGCCTGTCTTGCTATTATTATATGAAAAATTTTCTTGGAAAAGAGCTAATCCTAGGTACCCAGTCTTGGGTGTTAGAAGACAACCTTTACATATTCTTTTATCATTTGAATTTGTCTGTCCAAAGCTATTGTTACCAGTTGGGCTAGGTCAGTTGACGTTTATTTATCCTAGGTACCCAGTCTTGGGTGTTAGAAGACAACCTTTACATATTCTTTTATCATTTGAATTTGTCTGTCCAAAGCTATTGTTACCAGTTGGGCTAAGTCAGTTGACGTTTATTTATTATTTGATGTGTACGAGTGTTTGTCTGCATGTATGTTTGCACCATATGTGTGTCTGATACCTACAGAGGCCGGAAGAGGGGATTAATATCTGTGAGAGCTGACAGAACAAAGTCACTTGACTGGAGGCCCCTGCCAAACCTGTACATTGCTGTATACATACAGCCCTGTTTTGTATGGGTACAGCTTCTTTACAAACCAGTTTGTGAATCCCAATAGTGACAGTGTTTTAAAAGGGTATTTGGCCTTTGGGACATCCTGTTTATGCTTGTTTTAAGACAGGGTCTCACTATGTAGCTCTGGCTATCTGGAACTTACTATGTAAACCAGGCTGACCTTGAACACACAGAGATCTGCCTGCCTCTGCCTTCTGTTTGCTGAGATTAAAGGCATATGCCACTATGCCCAGACTGCATCCTGCTTATTTAAATTGCAGACATCACTGTTCTCCTTCACACTGACAAGTCAGGTACTTTTTATTTCAAATATAAAGGGATAGTTGATTCTCTGTTAGAAAAAGTGCTTCATTAGCCTTTTACAGACATCACCAAAACTTTTAGTCTATTTTCATGGTGATACTGATTTGTTTTTATTTTATTTTATGTGTATGTGTCTCCAACCCTAATGAGTTAGTATGTCAGACTGACAGTTCTTTTTCTCTTTTTATTACCAGAAACTGGTTGCTCAAATGAAGCAGGATCCACAGGTAAAAAATCTTGATGTTATTAACTTAGTTTTTAAATATAAAAACAATTGAAAATGACAGTAAACTAATAAAATGCAGATGTTAGTTAAATTTAAAACAGTTTCATCCCAAACAGCACATATATTTTCTTGTTGATATTCATGTTTATAGGTTAAAAAAATCCAGTCATATAAAGTTGCTGTCATTTAAGCAATTTTATGTCATTTTGTTTTTTAATTGCTATGAGTATTTGTTTAAAAGAAAAAGGAGGTTTAATAGTCTTCATATGGCTTAAATTTTCTTTAAAAAACTACTTTTGAAGCCAGGGGTGGAGGGATCATAGTGGTGGTGGCGGCACAAGCCTTTAATCCTAGCATTTGGGAGGCAGAGGAGGTGAATCTCTGAGTTTAAGGCCAGCCTGGTCCTCAGAGCAAGTTCTAGGACAAACAAACATCCTTTGAGACTCTAGGCTGGCTTCAAACTCACCATCCTCCTCCCTTGACCTCTTTAAATGTTGAGATTAGGGACTGGCTTAGATTAAATTTACATATTCTGAAATAATCAGGCTTTTAAGTCTCAAAACTTACTGAAATGCCCCCTAACCATTTTTAATTGTGTGGAGTTTATATATAGGACACCCAAGTACTAGATTTATTACATTCACAGTAAAAACTTTAGAATAATTTATAAAAAGTGTTTGAATTTGTTTTGTTTTGGGATCCAGGGTAGGTAGTCCTAAGTTTCATATGTAGCTAAAGATGACATTGCTTCTGAATCCTCCTGCCTTTAACTCTCATGTGCTGAGGTTATAGGTATGTGCTACCATACCTGGCTTTGAAATTTTTATCTTTAAAAGAATCCTTGAAGGTTTCAGAAGTATCTTACATAACATAATAATTTATAAAATATTAATCTTTTAATTTTTATAGGCGTTTTGACTTGGATATTTTATTCTCTTCTATAGAGAATTCTTCCTCCAAAGTTACCTTGCTCTCCAGTGATTCATATTTATTATTCAGGTAGTGTCTTCTTGGTACCCATTAGACAGTGGGTCACACATGCCTCTCGATAAAGTAAAATAAATTCTTGGTACGGAGGCAGATTAATTTTCTCTTAAGTTTTATACAATATTCATCTCGATGACTTAATTGTCTGACTGTTGTATTTTAATATAATTCATTGACTCTGAGAAGTAGCCTTTGTGGCCACATTTTTTATTTTTTATTTAGTATGTTTACACTTTAACCTGAATTTAGGGAAAAGTGGCAATGAATTGCTATGCTAGGTCCTTATATTTAACATGGTGATCTATTGTCAATAATAAGTATTTCTAGAAGGTAGCAGTTCTGATAATTCATGATCATATAATAGTAAATTCTTAACCTGGAAAATCTGAGGGTCAGTAACTTATTGGGCAACAGTATGTGCCTTCAGAGAAGCCTTATGTCAAATACACCTGAAAAATCCCAAATGAGGTAAGCTGAGTACAGAAAGCATGTGTGCCTGACAGACCAGGCAGGGAAACGAGGAACTATGTATAAAACAATTAATCCAGTCTCTCACTGAGGTGCCTTTGAGCTTTGCTGCTACACTTGAAAACTTTAATATCCCATCTCCCCACCCCCGCAAAAGGCAGGCATGCTCAGTGTATTTCATCTAAAATAGTATTCTTTTTTTCCGATTCTTAGAATTTCAGCATGTTGATTTGAATGATGTACTGTTAAGGCAGTTACAGTGCTGACAGCTTTCCAAATCTAGGCTAAAATAACAAATGTGTTTTACGAAATAAGAGAGGACAAGTAGAGAAAAGCTTCTTATCTTTGTTGATAATGCCGCTAAGCAGTGGGGTAGCATACTTTAACCTCCATTTTCCTGTTTTTGTCTGATTAGTGGAGCTTTAGATTTTCTGTCAACTGATACTTTCTATAAAGAATAACAATATTTTAGAAGAAAGGTACTATTAGAGTGCAAGATGACAATGTATAAAACTTCCTGTAATTTAAAACAGTTATGAGGAAGCTCTCCCTGTTTTAGGGGTTGATGTTATGCTTATAATTTAATGCATGGAAAATTTGATAGCTAAAGCTTGCTTCATCACTTGTAATGCAGTATATGCATAATCTTCCTGATACTATTATGTTAACAAATGAATATCTTTCTCACAGATATTTTTTCTTTCCAATCAGAATGCTGACTTAAAGAAACAGCTTCATGAACTCCAAGCCAAAATCACAGCTTTGAGTGAGAAACAGGTAGGGGAAGGCGGGGACATATTTTTAACATTGTGTTCTAAAGATATGTGTGCTTGAAGCTTCTAAGAGAACTGCTGTTTTTCTTCATGTGTGAAAATAAGTGTGGGCAGTCAGACTCAGTTTAATTTTGCTTGAGCTGTTTATCTATTTTTATTTTTGGTTGAAATCAGTCTCTAGAGTATCCCATGAGTATATGCTACTGGCAGATACCTAAGAGCAATGTGGCAGGCTGCTGTTAACTGTGTTAATTAAACTGTAGCTTACCCATAGGGGAAGGGACAAAGAAAGTTAGTGGGAGTGTGTGATAGGAGTCCTGTAGTGGCTGTGTCTTCTTAATTGTTTATAAAGATTTGAGCTGACATTTAACTTATTAGGTAGCTCCCTATGTAGGTCTCTAGTTGTAAGTATTGTCAGACTTTTATGGTAATGTTTATTGGATGCTGACCTGCTATTTGAAAACTCTTGGTGGAATGTGTTAAAGTTACTCTATGTAGGGTAAGAAAGGATTGTCTTGTGTTTCATACAAGGACATCTGGAAAGTGCTCTGATCACTTTGTATAGCAGCTTCCACTTTATCAACTGGGGCAGTTTCTGCCACCAGGTGGAGTGTGACAGTTGCTAGTGCTCTAAGTACATGTGTGTGGTAAGCTGATAGAGCATCCCTTTTCTTCTTTGTCACTCCTCTGTCTAGTTAAAAGAGAGTTTCTATCTTGGAATAAAGAGCAAATAACTGTGAACAGCTCAGTGCTAGTGGAATCTTAGTCTAAATAATAGCAACAAATAATTTTTCCCTACAGATTTTTGATCATGTTTTTTATTTCACTGAAGGGAGAAGTAAACTTTCAGAACCACAGATAATCTTTTAAGCCGAGTGAACCACTGCTTTTGATTTTTCTGTCTTTAATGCTTTCCAATCTTGTTTCTCCATAGATAAGAGGTGTTTTAGATTAGGAGGAGTCAGAGTAAAACTGGGAGGTTATGGGCTGCAGAGGCAGAGAAAGGTTTGTAAGGGAAAATGTAAAAAGGACTTGTTACTGGGTTCTCCAAAGTGATGTATATTGGTAACAACTGGCTTTAGAGCTCTGTCAGTTCTTAGCCTTCACATAGTTGCAGCGTTCCTTTGACAAGATGCCAACGAGTGAGTCATTTTTGCTGAAAGTTTCACGTATTCTAGCAGAGAAAGAAGTTTAAAATGATTAGTGGATTGGGTGTGGGAATTGCTTTTACAAAGTTAAAATAACTGAAGGCTGCATTTCAGGAAAATGGAGCAATCAAAGAAATTTACATTTATTTGAAAATTTTGTTTGTGACAACTAATGTGAAGGTTTGTGTCTTACTGTACTGTTCTATTGCAGTGAAGAGACACAATGACTGAGACAACTCTTTTCTTTCTCTCTTTTTAATTATGAAACTGTTGGTTAGCTCTGTCATAAATATTAACCCATTTCTATCAATCTAAGTGTTTTCACGTGGTCTTACTGGGGAAAGAGTCCAGACCTCTTATCCTCTTATGGCCTACATCTTGACTCCTCTCTACTACATCTCCCAGAATCCTCCTTGTCTCCTAGTCCCTCCTATCTTGCTTTCCTATTGGCCAACAAGGCTTTATTCATTAACTGAGACAACTCTTATAAAGGTAAACATTTAATTGGGGCTTGCTTACAGTCTCAGAGGCTAAGTTCATTGTCATCATGGCTGGGAGCATGGTGCTGGAGGAGTATCTAAGAGCTATATTTGATTCACAGGCAGAGTGTGGGGTAGGGGGAGACAGAGACAGAGAAGAGGTGGTGGGGGAGGCAGAGAAATAGAGGAAAGGAGGGAGGGATGGGAGAGGTGAGATTTTGAAACCTCAAAGCCCACCCCCCAGTGACACACTTTCTCCCTTGAGGCTAACTTTCATATTCTTTTAATCCTTTCAAAGAGTTCCATTCCCTGGTGACTTAAGGATCCAAATATATGACCCTGTAGAGGCTATAGAGGCTATTCTTTACTTTTTGTTTTTTGAGACAGGGTTTCTCAGTGTAGCTTTGGAGCCTATCCTGGAATTCACTCTGTAGACCAAGCTGGCCTTGAACTCACAGAGATCCACCTACCTCTGCCTCCCGAGTGGTGGAATTAAAGGCATGAACCACCATTGCCTAGTTCTCAATACATTTTTATATATCTGTCAAGTTAATTCTACAAATACAAACATTTTTCTTTATTAAAGAAATACAACATTGTAAATAATGATCAATTCTTACAGTAGACTTACTAGTTCTTACTCATTAATACAACTTCAGTGTTTGTTTGTGCTTTGTTTGGGAAAAATAAAGTCTTTGGTGAGCATCCTCTATGAATTTTCTTGAATGCTTGCTTGGAAGTTTCTAGTGCTTTTAAACTGTAGCTTGAGATTCCTGAATAGAAATTCTAGGGTGGATTTAGAAGGCAGTTTCACCTACAGGGATTCAATTTGTTTATGACAGTTTTAACTCAAAACATTTCTAAACTTGGTTGGCTAAATAAAGTGTATGCTATGTAGCCAAATAGCCAAATAAAATTATGATTTAGTGATGTAGGATAGCTTCTGCTAAGAAGCATTTATGATTTCATGTGCATTACTTGTATATTGGAATGCAAATGTGTGTGAAAACAGTATCAGTAGAAAATGTTGGGAGGTGGTGATTTTACATATACTTATATACTTATTATTCTCCTGTGTGTATTTTCTAAAATCTCTGTAGTACATATGTTTCATTTTTAAGATAGGAGAAAGACAAGAAACATTGTCTCCCCCCCAAAAAAAAAAGTTTGACACCAATCTTTGGTCTGGAATAGTTAGCAGTTGAAAACCTTGTGACATTCTCTTCATGATAGATGATCCACTCTAATCAGGGAATTCAACCTATTTAGAACCATAGTGAGGCTAATGTGTAGAAGCAGTTATTCATTTCCTTAACAGGATTCATTCTCATTTTGTACTTCCCCCTCCATTTATATCTGACAGGCAGTATGTGGTCCGTGGCAGAATCAAGACACTCTGATTCCGGAGCCAAAATGCTCAGTTGCTTTAGTGTTCTCTCTCTCTCTCTCTCTCTCTCTCTCTCTCTCTCTCTCTCTCTCTCTCTCTCCCTCTTCCTTCCTTCCTTCCTTCCTTTCTCTCTCTCACTCCCTTCCTTCCTTCCTTCCTTCCTTCCTTCCTTCCTTCCTTCCTTCCTTCCTTCCTTCCTTCCTTTCTCTCTTTCTCTCTTTTCTCCTGACAGTTCTAGAGATGGACCCAGGGCTTTGTGCATGGCAAGTGCAGTATTATAACTGAACTACACCTCTAGCCTGACAGGCAGTTTTAACATTCCAAAGTATATCTTTTGGCCTAGGAGAATTTAGGCCTAAGTTGATACTCATTCAAGTTGGCTTTCCCTGCCTTAGTTTGCCAGTCTACCTCTCTGGCTTCACCTCATTGCTGAAAGTTGTTAATTCATCTGATGCCAACTCTGAAGCCTATTTCTCTGTTCATAATCTCATTGAAGCCTCTATTTTTTCTTTATGGTTAATGCCCTTTATAATTAAGTTTGCCTGTGAATGGCTGAAACCCCCACTTAGATGGCTTCAACAGGTATACTTCTACTGTCTGTCATCCAAAAGATCTAGTGGACGAGGCTGGAAAAAGTTTCTATAGTGTCAGTGACCCAGGCACCTCCTGTTCTGTTGCTTTGCCTTTCTCAGCATGAAGCTTAACATTGGAGTCCAAAATAGCAGCTCCATCTGCTGAGACAGGGGGAAATCAACAGAAAGGGAGCCCTCCCCTCCTCCCCCCAGGATGTTTACTGGGAGCTTTATTTACCTCTTCAGTTAAATCTCCTTGAGTTGAACTTAGTCACATGACCTCCCTAGTAGCAGGGAAGACTGGGAAGTGTAGTTTATTTCTGGAGGCTGCGGCCAGATAAATTTAGGCACTATATACTGCAGCTAAATACAGTTTGTACCTCCGTGGCATATCCCAGTTTGTGATCACATATCTACTTATAATTACTATTTTAAAAATGTCTTAGTAGATGGTTTCAAGAAGACAGGGTCCTGGCAGTGGAGTGAGGGTGTTTCTGATTCTTTTGCCTGCTCTCGGGACACTTTTTCTCCAACAGGGTTACTTCACGTAGCCTTGATGTGAGGGTTTGTGCCTGGTTTTATTGTGTCTTGTTATGCTGTGTTCTGTTGATGTCCCTGGGAGTCCTGCTCTTTTCTTCAGGGAGATGGGGGGGGGGGAGTGGGGAGAGGAGTCATGGTGGGAGTAATTGGGAGGAATAGAGGGAGGGGAACCTTTGGTCAGAATGTATTATATGAGAAAAGAATAAATAAAAACTAAACAAAAAGAAAAGAAAGGGATTTTTTTCATCTCCTTTAACCCTAGTATAATATTTCCCATAATATTTATTTATTTGGAGAGAGATACACTCATGCCATCCTGTATATGCAGTGGTTAGAGAACACTTTGCAGGTATGGTTTTTACTACTTTGTGAGTTCCAGGGATTGAACTCAGGTTGTTAGGCTTGGCTTTGGGTGTCTTTACCCTCTGAGCCATCTCATTGGTCCTGTTACATTTCTTGAACAAATTTTATCTGACTGATCTTCTCTACTTAGCAATGAGTGTATCTTTTTAGATTTAATGTATTAAGAACATTTTCTTGGTTTTTGAGTATTCTGTTTGTTTGTTTTGGAGACAGTGTTTTCCTACATTGCCCTGTAGGTTGGCCAGGAATTCACTTTGTAGACCGGATAGACCTCAAGCTTAGGTTTACCTACCTGCCTTTGCCTCCTGAGTGCTGGGATCAAAGGTGTGCCACATCACTCCTGTCTTTGGATATTCTTTTAAAACATGATTTTTCACAGCTTCAAACATTTGTCTATTCATAATTTAAGACTATTTCCCTATTGATGATAGTTGCTTTTTCTAGTATGAATATTTTTATGATTAATACCTTTCTTATGTAAATCTGTTGTTGCTAATTGCCTTAGATGAATTTCT